AACATCAAAATAAGATGGAAGGAATACACACAGTCACTATACCAAAAAGAATTGATCAACGTTCCATCATTTCAGGAGGTAGCATATGATCAAGAACCGACAGTACTGGAGGAAGAAGTCCAAGCTGCACTGAAGACATTGGTAATAAAACAAGGCTCCAGGAAATGATGGAATACCAATTGAGATGTTTCAACAAATGGATGCAGCACTGGAGGTGCTCACCCGTCTATGGCAGGAAATTAAAAAGATCATTCAAAAGTGGTTGCAGCAGTACACTGACAAGGAACTGCCAAAGATTCAAGCTGGATTCAGAAGTGGATGTGGAATGAGAGATATTATCGCTGATGTCAGATGGATCTTGGCGGAAAGCAGAGAATACCAAAGAGATGTTTACCTTGTTTTATTGACTATGCGAAGGCATTCAACTGTGTGGATCATAACAAATTATGGATAACACTGTGAAGAATGGGACTTCCAGAACGCTTAACTGTGCTCATGTGGAACCTGTACATAGACCAAGAGGCAGTCATTCGAATACAGCAAGGGGACAGCACATCGTTTAAAATCAAGAAAGGTGTGCGTCAGAGTTGCATCCTTTCAGCATACTTACTCAATCTGTATGCTAAGCAAATAATCCCAGGAGCTGAACTATATGAAGAAGAACGTGGCATCAGGATTGGAGGAAGACTCATTAACAACTTGCATTATGCAGATGACACAACCTTGCTTGCTGAAAGTGAAGAGGACTTGAAGGAGTACAGCCTTCAGTATGGATTACATAAAGAAAACAAAAATCCTCACAACTGGACCAACAAGCAACATCATGGTAAATGGAGAAAAGACTGACATTGTCAAGGATTTCATTTTCCTTGGCTCCACAATCAACGCCCACGGAAGCAGTGACCGGGAAATCAAACGACGTATTGTATTGGGCAAATCTGCTGCAAAAGACCTCTTTAAACTGTTGAAAAGCAAAGATGTCACTTGGAGAACTAAAGTGCACCTGACTCAAGCCATGATATTTTCAATCACCTCATATGCATGCGAAAGCTGGACAATGAATAAGGAAGATGGAGGAAAAATTGATGCCTCTGAATTATGGTTTTGGAGAAGAATATTGAATATACCATGGACTGCCAGAAGAACAAACAAATCTGTTTTGGAAGAAATGCAGCCACACTGCTCCTTGGAAGTGAGGATGGTGAGACTTTGTCTCACATACTTCGGACATGTTATCAGGAGGGACTAGTCCCTGGAGAAGGACGTCATGCCTTGTAACATAGAGGGTTAGCGAAAGAGAGGAAAACAGTGTCTGCAACAATGTGCTCAAGCAACGCTTGTGAGGATGGTGCAGGAGTGGGCTGTGTTTCGCCTTGTTGTACAAAAGGTTGCTGACTCGACGGCACCTAACAACAACAACTTGGGTATAAAGAATGAGAATTCCAGAACTCTTAACTGTGCTCATTCAGAACCTGTACTTGGGTCAAGAGGCAGTCACTGAAACAGAGCAAGGGGATACTACATGGTTCAAAACTGGAAAAGGTGTGCAGTAGAGTTGTAGCCTTTCATCTTACTTATTCAATCCGTATGCTGAACAAATAATCCAAGACGCTGGACTACAGGAAGAAGGCGGCATCAGGACTGGAGGAAGACTCAACAACCTGCGTTATGCAGATGACACAACCTTGCTTGCTGAAAGCGAAGAGGACTTGAAGCACTTACTGATGAAGGTAAAGACCACAGCGCTCAGCATGGATTACACCTGGATATAAAGAAAACAAAAATCCTCACAACTGGACCAATAAGCAACATCATGATAAATGGAGAAAAAAATAAAGTTGTAAAAATGTCATTCTTTTTGGATCAACAATCAATGTCAGTGGAAACAGCAGTCAAGATATTCAATGATGTATTGCATTGGGCAAATGTGCTGCGAAAGACCTCTTTAAAGTTGTAAAAAGCAAAGACATCACTTTGATGACTAAAGTGCACCTGACCCAGGCCACGGGCTTATCAATTGCCTCGGATGCATGCGGAAGCTGGACAATGAAAAAAGCAAATGGATGCATTTGAATTGTGGTGTTGTCAAAGAATATTGAATATACTGTGGACTGCCGGAAGAACTAACAAATCAGTCTTAGAAGAAATACAACTGGAATGATCCTTAGAAGCAAGTACGTAGAGACTTCATCTTGCTTAATTTGGACACATCATCAGGAAAGACCAATTGCTGGAGACCAATATCATGCTTGGTGAAGTAGAGGATCAGCAAAAGTGAGGAAAACTCTCAATGAGATGGGCTGACACAACAGCCTGGACAATGGGCTCAAACATATCAAAGGTCATAGAGATGGCACAGTCCAGGCAATGTTCCGTTCTGTCGTATGTAAGGTCGCCACGAGTTGGAGTCAACTTGTCAGCAACTAACAACATAAACCTACAATATAACAACAGCTCCCACAAATAAAATTATAAACCCAGTAGAATTTTACACAAAGGCAATTCACACAAAAGGCCAATTTCTAATAAACCTAAGGAGATGTTTCACTTTATCGATAATCAAATAAGTGCAAAATAACACACTATCATTTTTCCTCTATATGATTGGAAAAAGTAAGAAATGGAATAATGCCCAATGCTGCACGTGGGGAAACGTACCCTGTTGGTTGGGGTAACACTAGTATGCATTTTATGGATGGCGTTTTGGTTATGTATCCCAAAAGGTCCAATATGTGATGCCCTCTACTTCCCAAAGGAGATAATTGCTCAGGCAGAAACAGACGAAGGTAGAGTTCTTCCTCCCAGCATTGCTTCTGTGCTGGATACTGGACTGTGCACTGGTGTACTGGTAGGCGGTTTAACTATGGTGCAGCTATTGGAGGAAGTATCATGCACCTGCTGACAACTGGCATAAGGCCCATGGATGCAGGCAGGGGAGGTTGGCAGGGGTGGCTCCCCAGGACAGGATTTCTCTTCTTCCAGCTCATACGTGTTGTTTTTCCCAATGAACAGGTGTAACTTTTACAGAAATAACTGCAACTCAGCCTGAGTGCTCACCTGGTCTGAGCAGGCTCTCGCCTGTCCAGCCCCGGCACCTGCCTGCCCTGTACTCTGCACACCTGTCCCTCCTCAGAGACAACCCAGCCCCCTAGACCCTCGACCCTCAGCTTCCCCATCACAGAGACAACTACACCTGTCACCTACGATCCCATCCCCCACGGGGGCTGAAATGCCTCTACGGCATCAACCTCAGCAAACAGACTTGCAGGTCCTGATGGTCCTGAGAGTGGGAGGAATGTTGGTGAGCGTCCACTCTGGGGACAATGGCTAAGACGAGATGACAGGAGGGTCCTGCACTGGAGATTGTGCCGGGCTGACGAGCAGCGTCTCAGCCAACACTGACCGCCCAGCGTGTCCACTGGCCTCCAGGGTGGAACTCAGACAAAAGGTGCCACCGCGGGTGCTGTGGAGGGGGCAGGGCCTGCAGAAGGGCCAGTGGAGGGCCTTGGATCTCGATTCCAGCTGCCTCCCGTCCACCTGGCCTCCCTGGTGGGGCAGCCCTGAGCCCTCCTAAGCCTGGGCCCTGACTCTCCCACAAGCCTCCAGTGCCCCTCCTCATCCACTCAGACCCACCAGACAAGAAAAGGCAATGAGCTGAAGGTTGATGCCAAAATCCTCCTGGAAGGAAGTGGCCTTTGCTCAGGGGCAGTGTGGCCTCCTTGCAGGACCGGAGTCGACGTCCTGTCCTGCAGCCTCCTGCTGGGGTGTTTTGGCCAACAGCTCCCTGACCTGAGCCTGGCTTCACCTGCTTCTTAAGAGTCACCTGCCCATAGTGCTTGCCTGTCAAGAGTCACCTGCGCATCATACTCACTTGCCCAGTGGGCTCAAATGACCATCAGTGTCACCTGCCTGTTGGGTTCATCTGTCCTTTACGGTCACCTGTCTATAGAGCTCTCCTGCTGATTGGAGTAATCTGCCTACCAAGCTCACCTGTGTCGGGCTTACCTGCCCACATGGAGGGACGCTTGGGTTGTCTTATTGACAAAATGCATTGAGGTGTTACTGCTCTAGATAATTCTGTGAGTTCTGTACATAAAAACGGAGCCTTCGGGTTGCTTCTCAGAGGGTTCACGCTCCCCTGCAAGGATCAGACCAGCCCTGCCCCAGAGGCCGATTTGGGTCTGCGGTCTAGGGAGGGCCACAGCCTCACCCTACAGAGCCTCCCATGTGGCCAGTCTGATCTGGGGTCAGCATGTGCCTGGAGACCTGACTGTAGGGTCCCCTAAGCCCATAAAGAGCCTCACAGCTGCACTCAGCACCATCTGCCCAGGGCATGGTCTCAGGGAAAACCGCTGGTGCCCCCGCTCCTACAGCACCTGCCCACCAGCCCCACCTGGGGGCCATTTCTGAGGAACAGCAGCCCCTGACCTGCCAGGGGACTCACCCCTGCAAGAGGGCTCTGGAGACAAGGCTCCTGCACCAAGCTGTGGAGCAGGGCGAGCTCCTCGTCTTGCAGGAGGAAAATGTCCTCGACCCAGTAGCACCCTTAGCCAGCACTGCAGCTGCCACAGAAGCCACCTGTCCACCCTCCACAGTGCTGTGGGGCACAAGGAAAACCACCTGCCCAACCCCTGCCAACCTCACCTTCAGGCCCATGGAGCAGCGGCCACATTCACCCCACCTAGGCTCGCTGCCTGGCTCAGGAGGAGGAAGGCAGCACCTCCACAGCCAGGGGTACTCACCTGGTACTGCCCCATCGAGCTCCAGACTGAGGCCTGGACACACAGCACACACGCGTGCAGAGACAAATACACACATGCAAAAGCACAGACACGTGTGCAGACACCCACATGTACACACGCATGCAGACATGTGCACGCACACATACACACGAATGGAGACACACCTGCGTGCAACACAGATGCACACATGCCCTCACACATACGTAGACACACATGCATGCTCCTGACACCTGCCTGGGGAGGCGTCCGCCCTCCAGGACACGTCTGGGGAGAAAAGGAAGCTGCAGCTACACATGTGCTTGGCTCTCACTCGCTCCAGGTCCCAAGCAGGGATGACCCGGCCGACAGGCCCTTTGTTCAGGGCGCCAGACAGCAGAACGGGCAGCAGAGACCAGCTGAAATAGGATGTCGTGATAAAAACCTCACTTAAAGTACGTCTTTTTTTATTGATTTCATTGAAAACAGAACAAGAAATGGTCTGAGCCAAAAGACCGCTCTTCAAACTGTCAAAAACATCTTAACAGAAAAAAATAAACATGACTGCATCGTGAATGTTTAGAAGATCGCACAAACCCCACGGTTACCGCACTAGTTACAGGATTTAAAAAGATATATGCCGAAAAAAAGTATGTGACCTGCCGGCCACCACACAAAAGGTGATGGCGAATTTATTCACACTACAAGACTAACATTTTAAAAAAAGGTTTTCCTGCGTTTTATTCTAAAACCCCTTTGTTCTCATGTACAGTTGATATTCATGTGGTGAGTAGAGACCACACCAGGTCAGCACCATTGTCTGTTTGTTTTCTTTGTCATCTGTCCTAATGTTCAGTAATGGTAGAAAATAAATCAGTTACTGTCATCATGGCGTGTGGCTTAAAAATCAGGGGGGTGCTCATGCCCACACTGGCAGCAGCTGGCGCGGCCCTCACGCTCACCAAGCTGCCTTCTCACGAGGAAATGCAGCCAGAGGCTTGGAACAGGGCGAGACAGAGACTTTCTTTTGAAAAGCAAACCAACATTTCCTCCGGAATTTCCTCCAGGACGGCGATGGTGGTCAGGAGACCCAGCGTCCTTGGTGCCCAGCACGCAGCCACGCAGGCGCCGGGGTCAGCACGGGAGACGGCACTTTGGCAGGCTCGCACAGGCCTCTTCCAGAGGAGAACACTGCCGATGGCCCAGGTGGGGGCGGCACAAAGCCGGAGGAGGGAAAGGGAGACGTGGAAGCGGCAGCCTGCACGCAGAGACTCACAGGGCGGCGCCACCGTGGGTACCCAAGGTTCCGCTCAGCCCTGAGCACGGCCCGGTTGCAAGGCTGCGGCGTTCACACGAGGTGGCCCTGACCCACCCAGGAGCTTGGCAGAGACTTATCATCACCCCAGCCTCCTCCGGTGGCTGGCATGGCCGAGACCTCACGCCCACTCGATGTCCGCAGGCTCCCGCCCTCTAAACATAGTCTAAGCAGTATTGAGTGCTGGAGCTTCCCGCCCCCTCCCTGCCCTCATAGGGGATCAGCAGTGGCGGAGGAGCTGGTGTCCGGCAGACCGTTCTCCTGGGTCTCCTGGGCTGCGCTGGCCTGCCGCTGTGCCAGGGCTGTGCTCGAGTGCCGGCACTTGGGGGAGCCGCACTGGCACCCAAACAGCTTGCCTTTGATGTCCCAGAAGCGGTCCCCGTAGTCAAACCTGTGGGGAGAGCAGGCTGGACTCAGGTGGGCTTCACAGACAGTGCCGTGTGTCCTGGGCGAAGAAGTCGGCCCTCTGCCCAGGAACCCCAGCCACCCCACACCATCCGAGCAGAGCCACATGTGAACTGGCAGGGAATTCCTTTCACTGCAAACCCCAACCACAACATCTGAAACACCCCTCTGTTCCAAGCTAAAGACAACTGTATGAGTTAAATGTCCCCACGTGCTGTGACATTGTGTTCTTTGGTCTCATCTACACAGGCCTATGGTGACCTGGTGGGCAAAGCCGTGGACCTGATGCAGACAAGGTGGGGTCCAGGGCCCAGGGGGCCCAAGGTTCTGCCCAGAGTGGAGGGAAGAAGAGCTGGAACAGCACGCGCCTCGGGCACAAGCCGCCCGTGCTCCTGCCTCCAGAGGCAACGCTGCAAGCAGCCTCACTGGTTCCTCAGGAGCAGACGCTTGCGCTCTGGAGTCAGCCCGGCTCCAGCAGCCCGACCACACTGCCGCCTGCGTTCTAGAAAGACGCCTCTGGGACGGGGAGGGGGCTGGAGCCTGAGAGGCCACTGAAGGAGCTCACTGGGGGGTATGGAAGTTCCTGCTGTAGTCCGACCACCAAGGAACAGTGAGACCCAGCCCAGGGTGACTCCAGACCCCACACTAAGCGATGGGATTGTGTGACGGTGAAGACCTGGGGGTGGTGGCCCTTCTCAAGCAGAAAGCAGGGGTGAAGTGAGGGGTGGTGTTGTCTTGGACCCTAGCCAAGGGGCACAGCTCCACCTGGGAGGAAGGGAGGGCCAACCTCTTGCCAGGCTGAGGACAGCCTCCCCAGGCCCTGCTCTTCCCTGTACAACTTGTGAGTGTACAGCCCCCACCCCTCCATGAACAAGGGACCAGCGACGGGGGCAGACGGTGGGGCAGAGGGAATCGGCTTCTGCAGCAGGAGGACGTGTGGATGAGGGCGGCACTATCCTCTGTTGCCCTGGAGGCGGACATGGGGTCACCTCAAGGACAGGGCTGACCTGCTGGGAATGGATGGATGAGGCCCAGCCAGAGGATCTGCACCTGCCCACTGTCTTCTAGCTAGCCTCACAGGGACCTGAGGGGCGGCCCTATGGCACACCGGGCCAGTGCCCCCCAGAACGGCCCCCTGGCCAGCAACACATCTCCTACCACATGCCCCCCGGGACACCTATCCCAGCTGCTGGCTGTCCAGAGCCCCACCATATACCTCCTGCACCCCCACAGACCGCCCCCCATGATGCCCCCATGTGCGCATATGCGCATGCATACACTCAGTACCCCCATGCCCCCCCACATATGGTACCTCC